CTGATGTGGTTAGTACCACACCTGCATGGGGTCAATTACAAAACCTCAATTACAATTACACATTCAATCACACTCCTTTTGTAAAAAAAGGACTTGATTAGAATTAAGCCATGTTGAAGTAATTTCAATTGAAAATACATGTATGCAAGATATTTTAATATGTTTTGCAAACTAATTGTAATTGAGCCTATTGTAATTGATCCTTGGTCATGTATATTATCAATACACACATACAGTGGTCTTATGGTGTATTATGTTGGGAGGTGTTTACTCTTGGCTGGACACCATATCCTGGCTTAGATCCATCAGGAGTAGTGGATTTACTGAATAATGGAAAAAGACTGAACTGTCCACATAATGAAGCCTGCTCACAAGAAATGTAAGAGACATTAGCACAAGTAGATACATGCCAATTTATTATCATTTCATAGCTTTATACTGATGAGATCATGCTGGCATGAGTATCCTGATGACAGACCAACTTTTAAGAACTTGGTTTCATCAATTAATACTCTCATTGAACCATTGGCTCAATACATTAGTTTACAATGATGTATGTAACTGTACTCTCTCTGTGTAGTAATGATTTGGTGTTACTTCTGCTATACTTTTATTGCATAATTTTATCTACATGAGTAATATTATGGTTTGGTTACTGAACTATTTTTAATCATTTTTAATTGCTGATGCTTCTTCACTTTCTTGCTGTGCTTTCAAAATCTGAGCTGGTTTTTTTATAGTAGTCAGTGAATTTTTATGTCACAGGAATGACATTAAAGATTATAATCTATGGGACATTAGGTTACTAAGCCCCTCCCACTGCATATTTGCTAGATTTTTCACAATGAAATCAGTTGCTCTGTTTCAATTCAGTCTCTTTGTTGTTTACTTTATAGTGACTTGTAGAGGTAAGTGCAAGACTATTTCATGATAATGTAGTTTATATGGATAACAGGTTTATCATGTAGTGGAGGGACTATTTCAGTATCACAAGCAGACTCAGATACCTGTTATAGTACATATGCTCAGTAAGTTATAATAGTAACTGATTTATGAATTAAAGTTATACATTTAGATCAAGTGCTGTCAGTTTCTTTAATGGAAGTGTTCAAGATGGCAATTGTGAGGTGTTTTCTGATCTCAATTTTTTTAATGTGACACATAACTGGTCTTCACATTATACTAACTGTGCTACAGATGGAAACTTGTTCATCACTTTATTGTTGCCAGATAGTTTTGGCTTGCCTCCTAAATTATCATCCACTCATTGTATTCAATATAATACAACATCATGTTCCTGTCAAATGAACTGTCTATTGCATTTTTATCAAACACTTAACAGTCACAATCATTATATATACCTTGAAGGAATAGACTGTAATGAAACATTATACAATACTACTATAGAGGGAATACAATATGACAAGGAATCAAGTTACTGGTCTAACTTTACTGCCAAAGAAGATTCTACAATAGGTGAATAGTTATAAGTATATTCATGATTTTATTAATCATACATTTTACATCTACTATATAGATCCAGTGGTCAGTAGCAGTTCACCATTGATCAGTAGTACTTCTGTTACTAGTTTTAATATTATGCGTACAGTTTCTATCTCTTCAGATCTATACATCTCAGCTCACTTTATGTCACTCACTCCATCAAGTAAATCCAATGACTTTTAAAAGTTTATCAGCACACAATCTAATTGTTGTTACAGCTTGTCATCATTTTATGTTAATTTTTTACAAGAGTCAACAATTTGGAGTTTATCATTTGTTATTACTAATACTTTTAGTAGTAGTATACAGTTACAAATTTTTTCCCACCTTATCATGCCTCACATATTTTTGTACATTACTATTGCACACACCTGCAGTGTTTATATTGTTTAATTCATTTAGATAAATCTAGTAGTAGATCTAGTTTATTGATCAGTGGAACTCTCATTAGCAACAGCAACATCAACTTCCTTATTCCTTTAGCTCCACTTTCTTCTCTTAGGCCTACCTCTTTTTCTCATATATCCTCAGGAATTATATAATTAATGGATAAAGAATAATGCTTGTTACTAGTTTTTTATACACTTTATGTTGCCCACTCCATCAAGTATACTATATCTAATTGCAAGTGGCATTTTAAATGCACCTACATGTACATACATTCTAAGTCCTCGTCATCATTAGTGTTGATTTTTACAAAGAGTCAGCAGTTAGCAGTTTATCATTTGTTATTAGTAATATTTTTGTTTCTAGATAGCACTAGTAATTTTGTAACAAGTATTGGCTCAACAGTTATCATATCTTCCATTGATGATGCAAGTAATCAAAATAAATCTACTATAGCATTATCATCATCATACCGTATAAGGGGTATATTTCCCAGGAAAAAAATTTCACAAAAATCACCTTTCAATCTATTCACAAGAAAAAAATTTAGGTTTTTCTTCCACTGACCATTATTAGTATGATAAAAAAAGATAAAAATTTTCACAATTTTTTTTAAACTGTGAAATTAGCGAAATTAAATCCCTGTGAAATATACCCCTATACGGTAATGCTAAATTTATAGTGAACATCATTATCCGACTCTGTTTTAATAGGCTCATCTCATGACCCCACATCACCAACAA